AGTGAATACGAGCGCATGCTTATTCTTCTCAATCTGAAAATTTACCATTGGGGTGTTGAGTTTTGTCATCACTTCTTTTCTTTACTGGGAGTTCGCGGCCTTCCTTCACATTGTTTCTACGTTTGTAGTCTACTGATTTTTTATACGTCTTCTTCATTTTACTTTACAGACTACTGCTCGGCTTTGTCTTCCTTATCTTGATTTGTTTCCAAATCATCTTCACTTTTACTTCTTTTTTTATCATCGTCACCCTTCGAAGACTTCTCTTTCTTCTTCGCGCGAAATTTCTTTGCAGCCCGTATTCTTTTCTTTCTTCGCAAACTTTCCCTTTTTGGAGGAGTGTCCTGTTCCTAGCGTCTTTTTGGAGGAGTGCGCTGTTTTTTGCGTAGGCGACACTGAATCTCCTCCAGCAGGAGAGAGCGACCGCTGCTTCCTTCATCATCAGCATATCGAGAGTTCCATCCAGGATTGTTATTCGAGACCAAGACCGACCATTGTGATGCCAATCGCAACTGAACCTACTACGCTGAATGAGTTTTTCAGTGCGATTATGTCAAACAACTGATCCATCTCCATTCAGCTGTTTGCACTCATGGAAAGAAGCTCTGCGGTAGGTTATACGAATACTCTCGGAAGCATTCCTAGGTATCATTCAGAGTTGGCGATAGCGGCGGTTGGGCGATTGGTTTGAGGGGAAGGATACGTATGATTAAGCGACACCGATGGAAATTAGCGGTTGCTGCCAGTGGGCGGAGCAATAAACGTTCTTCCGCAACTCTACTCTATTGCTATTTGCGTGATCGATACGTATTCTTTTCCTTCTAGTCCAATCCGCCCAGTCGCATATGCGATCTCGAACTGTGAACGTTTCCTGAATCACTTGTCCCAATACATTCGGCAAAAGCACTGACCGCTTGGAATATTGTCGCTATTCTTGTAGAGAAAAGAGGAACAATCAAGAATTTTATGTGATTGGATAGAGAGAAACGAGACCATGCTTTCAACATAAAACCAGCCACTCAAATGATGCCGCTTCTTTCATATGAGAATACGCCTAAGAGGGTATGGGAACTGGCATATTGATCCCCAGTGTAGGATGTCAATCGCCTAATTTTTAAAATCTGCTCTGTGAACGCTCTGTTGGGGGAATCGGATTTTATTAGAAACCCTGAGTCTGCAATTTCCTTCTCGGACTTATTGAGGACGTTCTCTAAGAACTCTATATCTGGCGTGATTTTTGGCCAGTCCCACTCGACTTCGATGCTATTCTACTCAAAATCAGCAAGTCGCGAAAGTGTCATCTATTAGATGTGGTATATTCGGCGATATCACTCCAGAGCTAATCCGTTGTATTCCACTAGTTTCGTAAGTTGGAAAGAGTCCCATCGCTACTGACGTCACCGACGTGAATGTTCTGCTCTGCTTTCTTGATAAACGACTATAGCCTGATGGCAAGAAGGTGCCCAGTCAAGGGGGGGGGGGGGTGGTGGTGGACAACCGCGAAGGCCATCACAGGGAGAAAATCAGGTCGAGGACGTGGCCGCGCAGTACGATCCCCCCTAGTCGGGGTCTTGATACGACCCCTAACTTTGACCTCATGTGAATGGACAAGTTCCATTACATGTACTTTGAAGTATGCAGCTGTAGCGTGGTTTATCCCTGGGTCAGATTCTGTCCTAAGGTTTAGGGAGTGGCTACACAGAAGGCTTCCATTCCTCCTTTTCGTAACCTTTTGAACAGGTTGAGGTAGAATTAGATAGAGCTAGGATTTCGCGTTACCAAGCAAGTATTGAAATTGCTCTGAAAGCCTTCCATGCAGAGAGATAGGTCTCTCAAATGCGTCGAGTAAGCGTCGAGGCGCCAAAATTTTCTTGCGAGTTTTTACCACTTCAAAAGGCAATATCTCTCTAATTTCGTAAGAACTTGAAAAAAAGAAAGTTTTGGAAAGCGGAAGGTTTGCGCTTTCTGATGGTCTGTTTAGTTTCTTTCTACATTTCTAGTTGAGGAGATATTGCGTCGAGGATCTATCGAGGACGATTCTCGGCCACTCAAAAAGCCGCTCCCTTCTTCACCATTGCAAGTTAATTCGTTGGCAACTCTCGAAATGTGTCTAGAATACATTCTCCAACATAAGCGATAAGAAAAGGGGCAATCGTCATCATCCGATCTCGTCTGGTATAGGCCATGCATCCGACCTCCACTCAAAGTTGCAGAATCGATTGAAAGGTGTTATGCATGATGACCTGTTGACAGAAACTGTGTTGTAGTAAACAAATTTCGTAACTCTTATGACCTGAGGAACAGCTCTTTTTGCACAGGGCATTTCCATACCTTCCATCATTTGTTGTACTGTTTTCAAATACTCCCTTCTCATAAAGGTAGAGGAATGGAGACTGAACCTGCAAAGAATATTTAATATCATGTTTCTCAGATATCCTCGTTTTCTGCTGCGCTATACCCTCTTACCTATCTGCACCACGATGCCACTGCTGTTACTGACCCCCAAGAGTACGACCCCCCATGACCCAGCCCGACAGGTACGACCCCCCTGTCGAGGATTTCCTCGACCGATATTCACCCTGGGCGGGAGTAAGGCCTTACTTCATCGCCCGGGCGCGCCCTTCACTGCATACCGCGCCTCGTTCAGCTCCTTGAAGGAGTCTGCCTCTCTAGTTAATATATTTCCCCCTTTCCGACCTCGAATTTTGTAAGAGCAGCCTTTGAGCCACCTCAT